CGCTACCCCAAATTTCATCCAATGTCACCCACAAATCTGTCTTTCACACTTATTTAATTTCTGTTCTGGCTAAATGATGTGTCTATGACTCTTTCCTGCTTGTATCATCCTCACCCGTCTCTTATCTTTTAACTTCTTTAAAGGGTGGTGGTAAGAGTTTGCCCTGCCAGGGTAGACTGTCCCAGGGCAGCTGTAGCTACAATCTAGTAGCTTGCCACCATCAGCAAGCATGTGAATGTGTGAGTGTGTGTGGAAATGGGTGATTTATTAAGATAGTGTTAGGGTGTGTTTGAGCGTCCTAATAATGTTAACAAGTTAACATTCCACTTGTTGTTCTGAATAGCTTTTTTTTTCTTTTCATGTCACTCTCATGCACTCAACCTTCTCATCACACGGACATGTCTTTTAGCCATAAATCTCTCAACTCTAAAGATCTGAATGTTTCAATTCATCCCCAGGACCATGAAGGTTGTATTGGTATCACATGTTGAAGCTGAGCTGAAAATTTCACCCATTATAAATAAGATATCAGTTCAGCCATCGAAGTTATAGAGAGCTTTTCCACGGACTCTTGCAATACAAAAAAATAAATTTGAGCCATGTGTAATTTATATAGGTGCACATCTGTTTATATGAATGTTGTGTTTATCATGTCAGCTTCAACATCTATATCTTGTGCTAGGGCTCTTTGACAATAGAGATCAAAAAGTGGAATTTATTTGTGCTTTCAGAGTATCTTATGACTTCCAAGTTTTGCATGTACATAGATTAATAGCTGGTTTTCACAAAAAATAAAATTCATTGTCACTTTTATAGTCTTACTAGATATAAAGATGATCTTTTGTTTGTGAAGGACATGCCATGTAAAAGTTAGCTTAAAGTGAGACAAAGAAAGTTCTTCCTCAGCTTGTCTGTCAGAACATAGAGGACCTATATTTTCTTTCTATTTGTTTTCATATGTGTCTAGTAGATGAATCCCATTACTGTTTCAACTATGGTACTGTTTTATGACTGGTGAAGTTGAAATCAAAGGTGGTTGTCCAAAGTGTTGAGTAACTGGTTACTAGTTAGGCACATCCATCCATTACCTAACTATGTTAATCTTTGCAGGATCTGGTGCCTATCTCCAGGAGAGTAGTCATTGAGGGAGATGCCGGGTACACACTGGACAGGTCGTCAATCCATCACACGGCAACACAGAGAAAAATAGGACAACCATGCATGCACACACCAACACCTAAGAACAATTTAGAGAAATCAATTAACTTAACAGTCATGTTTCTGGACTGTGGGAGAACACTGGAGTACTTGGAGACATGCACAGGAAGAACATGCAAACTCCATGTAGAAAGATGAATAGAGAAAGAATCCCCAGGCTGGGATTCAAACCCAAGAACTTCTTGCTCAAAGGGAACAGTGCTACAAACCACTGTGTAGCATAGGTTCTTTACTGGGAAGTTATTTTGAAAAGTTTATATAATTTTTTATTCTACTTTAAATTACCCGGTATCTTTTATTTTTGTTGAAATATATTTCTTTCATTAGGTACCATGTTTTCTCTCATTGTTTCTGAAAACACTGCCTTTAGTCTTCACTGCAGAAATGCAATGGAGTGAAAAGGCAAGAATAGTGCTCTTACTTTTCATAAATTTACAGGAGTATGTTGACCCATTGAAAGAAAAGTTTGCAAACTGTGTCTGTATAAAGTTAATGTCAAAGACAAGAGGTAAAACTGTTACACCATTTGGACTTAATTCAACAGTTTGATGTAAAGATGGCCATCCTGCAAATATGCTAGGGCAGTAAATCTGGTGGACTGTTTATGAGCTGTGACACAATCTGCTGCATTCCTTGCCCATATATGACTCTGTGCATCGACTCTTGTCTGCATATATTCACACATTAGATTCTTCTAACGTGCAAATATTAAAGAAATCTAATATTTCTCTAATTTGAGAAAGTGCTGAACAATGATTTAGCCTGAATTACACTGCTTTAATCTGTAAATTTCCTCTATACCACAGTTTTCTTTAATTGAATAATTTAAAACTAAAGAAGTATTACCACATGAAGGACCAGGTCAAGCAGAATTAATTGAATCCGATAAAACGGCAATGTAAGTCTGTATGTATGTTTTCGTTACAGTTGGCATTAAAAAAAAAGCAACAGTGCAGATATGGAGAGATGGAAATTGCCGTTTTGGTCCTACTTTGTGATTGATGATGTGAATAGCTACTCCAGACCATGTCAGAATCCACATGCATTCACTAACAAATACACTCTACATGCAGGCCCACACAGAGATCCATTAATGGCCTTGAATTGGAGAATCCAGATGCGATCTCAAGATAATTGTACTAAAAACACAAAATTTTTGACTCCTGGGCCAACATGACTTTATTCAGACTTCAGAATGTTTATTTTTGCAAGTGGATTGTTTAAACCGGGACTTGAATCATGGAATAAAAGTACGCCATTGCAGGTCAATTCTTAATAGATTAAGTGTATTTTAAATGCGGCAGACTCACTAAGATACTACTTACTTTACACAAACCCACACATTACTATGCTGGTTAGATGCTTGTTAAATGCAATTTAAGAGTCTGGAGTTAAGCTGCTTTGTTTATTCAAATACCTTCAGAAACTATTGCAGTTTACAGAATAGTCAGATTGTAAAAGCAAGAAATAGTACTCCTATTTAGTCATTGTTCTTCATATTTTTGCTTGGCATTTTAGTCTTTTGGGTGACAAATTTCATAGTCATTTTTACAGTAACTAATTAAAGAAGCATAGGTGCGTGTGTCTGTGAGTGTTTGTCGCTGACCGTCTATGAGAACATTTTTACTCCTAAGTGTGTTTACAAGAGTGGGTTGACAATGTGTGTGTGTCGTAACACTGGATTTACAACATCCTGTTTGATGACAGAGACTGTAATCACAGATCTGCATTAAAGACACAGACTTTGCCGCACAGGCTCTTCAGTCCTCTTGCGGTATATTTGTACATCTGGTTGTTTGTGTATAATGACCCTTGTTGGTGTGTTTCATCTACACCTGTAGAGAGTAAGTCGCTGCTTCCCCTCTGGAACAGAATGTACACTCACAGACAGACACACACACACACACAGATGCACTCTGTTAACCAGCGAGGACAGTTGAAAGATGTCATATCCTTTTTTGCCTACAGAGTCTATTACACCGCTACATGCCGGTGAGTCACAGTGAGGCTCGACTAATACACCACTTAGCAGACCACTTCAAAGATGTCTGTGTCCTTTCTGTGGAATCTCTGTCTACGTTTAAGGAGCGGCAGATTAAGTGCACTTCAGTAAGCACATTGAACGCTGAAATTGAGATTTCTAATACTCCTAAATAAAATCTGTGTAACCAGTTGGATTCAAAGTCACTTATGTACAAGATAATCTCGGTATGGATACTAAATATTATCTGCTCTGTGAAGGCCTCAGAGATTGGTCAGAAAACATAATTGAACAAACACCATGATGAAGTCCGGGGAACTCGACAGACATTCTTGGAATAAACTTGTGGAGAAGTAAGCACTTCATCATCGAGGAACAGAAACAATACAGCACAACTGTAAATCTGCAGAGGAATAACCATTCACCTAACCCACAGACGGAACAAGAAGCACAGCAAACAGAGGAGTTGCAGAGGTCTACAGCTGAGATGGAAGAATAATTTGACACAATGCTTATAAGCTTCGCACTTCAAAATCTGACCATAGTAAAAGTGGGACTAGAAATCCCAATTAAAGCCCTGTAGGCGGAAAACAACCATGTGAAAGAAGATGCTGTCGTTAGATGTCATCAAAAATTAGCTTTTGGAACTGAACATGCCAATGTGGCTGAAAGCTACACCGCTGAAAGCCGCATTGGTAGGTTCAAATTTACATACTGATTTTTGTAATTCACCAGTTTGGAATTACAAAAATACATTTGCTCAAAAGGACACTATTATGCGTTGACTCTGAAAACTCCTGCTCTTTCCGAAACTCCATCTTCAGGAAGTCATCACAACAGCACTCCTCTATTAACCTTTTAACAGGGTTTTTTACCAGCGTTTCACTGAGAAGAGGTTCATATAATGAGCGCAGCAGATGCCCAGTTCCACCAGGTGTTTGCTACTGGCGAGTCTGTGGAAGCTGAGTGAGTGAGTTATAGGGAGGGGGCACTCTGTGAGGTGGAAGTTTGGATACTTGGTTGGTGGTGCTCCTCTGAAGTGAAGCAGTACCAACCAGGTGCAAGCAGACGTTTTGGACAATTGAATAGTTGCCATGGGAAATTTCTCAAACATGCACAAAAGAATCAAGGCGACACTCCAGGTGTATTTTTGTTGAGGGAATAACATCATAATATGATATAAAGCTTAAACAGTTGATTTTACATAATACTGCTTCTTTAATGGAAACACTTTTTTCGCATCACAAGTCATGTGATCAGTAAATGGATGTTACTACTGGTGGAAAAGATGAAGAAGGCAACAGGAAGTGGCAGTATGATAATACCAAGGCATGTTTTTTCATGACCTTTCATCTGAACAAACGTATTCATTTGTGATTGTAATTGTGTTATTTAATGGAAATACCACAATTGCGATTTTTTTTTTTTTTTTTCAAAATTACCGGAATATTAACAAAGTTTTGTGCACATTTGTAATGGAAATGCAGCTGATTGTATAACACACCAATGGGGATAAAAGAAAGCTGTTATATCCTCTTTAGTCTGCAGAGTCTATTATACTGGTACATGCTGGTGAGTCACAGTGAGGTACCACTAATTTACCTCTTAGCACACCACTTCAAAGATGTCTGTATCTTTTCAGTGTAATTTGTTGAGCTCTGAAATGAGGGTGCTTGACGTCTTTATATTACACTTTTGTATTTATTGCTGTATTTTCATTGGAGTTCATAACCAAGAATTAATTTTGATACTGTTCTCTGTGACTCAGTGCAGTCTTTCTTGTGTTTTCTCACCATGTCAGGCAGCAGGCGTTGCTGGCAGCCATCAGTGAGAAGGATGCTAATATTGCCCTTCTGGAATTATCTTCTTCCAAACGCAAGAAAGCCCAGGAGGAAGTGATGGCTTTGAAAAGGGAGAAGGACAGACTCATGCACCAACTCAAACAGCAGGTACATTCTCCACACAAAGCAATAGTTATTCGTTCATCCTTTGAAAAGAATAATCTTTTGTCCAGACAGTTAACTTTTCCATACAGAGCGACAGCTTTGTAGATCTACAGAGGGACAGTTCTAGGTTTAAGAATCAAAGCGGGGCTACAAATTAAATCCTGCTGCCTATTGTGGGGCATTGTTTGAATTACAGATGCCTCATGGCAAACCTTTTGAACTTAAAACTGGGAACAGATAGAAGTTAATAACTTGTAGTAGCCACAGTTGCTGCATTTAATCACTGTATACCAAAGGAAGAAAACCAGATTTTGGAATCCAAATCCAGGCACATTATCACATCATGGAACCTATTCTTTAAACAGGCATGTTGCAATCAGTTACTGGATACACTCTCGTCGCAGACGAGTGTCATTGTTGAGTCACTGCTGGACTGTTTTTGTCTGAGGCCTGCTGGCTAAACAGACGTAAGTCAAGGAGACGCACACACCTTTGAACACACACACACAAACACACCTTGCTATTTTCCATGCTGCTTTGGTTCTCGATATAACCTCAGGCTCGGGAAGGTATGTGGGTCATTAAGATCTGGTCAGACCGCATCACTGACTGATCAAACATGAATGCTAACGATAATGAGCTAACAGCAAGGCGTCTACATGTATGGTCTCCTGAGTCACTGAAGGCTTCTGGGAAAAATAAGGGGTTTAAAAGTCAACAGATGCAGTGACTGGATGTGGATTTAAGCGCAAACCTAGGTTTGCATCTTGTAAACAGTTCCTTGGGGGTGCAGTTCTATTCAAGGTATTTCAAGGAAAGCCAATTATCTGTTTATCACCATTTGATGCGTCATGTTTTCCTATTGAGTAACTAGCAGTTAAAGTCCACCTGATGATGTGATGAGAAACTCTAGTTTCAGTGATGTGGCTTCTGGGTTTGGAACGCCAGACGAATGGGACAAATTTGCACAACAGAAAAAAGGCAGAAGATAAAAACAAACTTTCCACCGTTCTTGTGCTTGCAGAGTAGATTTATGCAAACATCCTGAGACATGTATTAATCTTGCATAAAATCTTTATGTTTACATATTATACGATAAACACTGTTACTAGGTTGCAAAATATATTTCAAAAGTTTTATGTTAACTCAACCAAAATGCAGAAGCAGTGTGCATACTTTTGGATACTTTTGAAATTAAGCGGGTAAATGGTAACCAGGTGTTGTTAATCGAATGCATTTGCTGAACTGATCATGAGCAGAAGTGATTTTCTCTGTAAAAGTAGTTTTGACATTTTGTGGTCTGGACGATTTTGGATGTGCCTGTTAGCACATTATAAAGAAAGTGAGACATAAGTGCTGATGTTACAGAAGCAATCATTTCTCCTTTGCAATCTGGAGGGTCTTCTTAGCCAAATTCTTAACTTTTTGGACTTCATCAGGACCAATGTTTCCAGGAGTCGGTATCCTACCAAAGTTATGCTGGTCGAATCATGTAATGTTAAAAAAATTGCAATCTATTGAGACCTTTAGAACCAGAACTCTGCATAATGTACGACAATTGATAAGAATAGCATTTTTTTCTGTAAAATACCACAAAACTTAAACAAAACTGAATATCAGTTTTGTTTGCAGGGCTATGAAATGAGAGCGCTTGCCTTCTAAGCCATCCTTATATACACACACAATTTTGCTTATTAGGAATATGAGGGACAATTTTGAATAAGTGTTTGAGTGAAAAAGAAGAAGAAACGAGAAACATTTTTGCCCCAACAAAAGACATTAAACACAGCATATTATCTAGATAAAGATCCCTGACCACCAAATGCATAACAGCAGGAGCTTGCTTTGCTGCCACAGGATCTGGGCTTTGCAGTCATTAAATTAACCTCTGCAGATATACTGAATTATTCCAAAATGAGTTGGATCCTGTTTGTGGTTCAGTGGGATGAATGAGCCCCTGGAGACTTAACCCAAACTTACCTGCTACAACCGAATTTACACATCAGATATACAAATTGCTCAAATTTGTTTTCATTTGTCACACTGTTAATGTCAAACTTATACAGGTTTTTAAGATAATTGTTGCCCCTTCTTTGTTAAAACACATAATACTTATGGTCTGTTTTTTCCTCATCGTCCCTGGTTTTGCTTTGAAGATTTCCCCAATATTACTCATTTAGTCCTGATGTGTATACAGAAGAAATATTGTGATGAGGAATAAAAATAACATTTGTTATACATGTCTGTTTTGGAGTCTGGGATTTTTTTTGTAGCCAACTATTTGAGGTTTTTACTGAACTATTTTAATTTTCTGTCTGACCTTTAAAAAAATTATGAAAAAAGTATAAAAATTATATGAATGGGAGATAAAATGTTAACAAGGAGTATAACGTGCTCATAGCAAAATGGCCAATACATTTTTCCTGTTGCAATTGGTATATAACTGAATCATATGCAAAAAATAAGGACATCAGTGAAAAGTTAATTTAATAAATCTGTTCACTATGTAAAATACATTACATAGATTAGACTGTTTTCACATTTTCATTTCTGTTTTCTAATGATGTTCATCTTACAGTTCATGGTAAAACAACATTTAAGATTAGAATATTATATTACATTAATAGCAAAAAAAATACATAAAATGTGTGTTTAAAATGTGTTTAAAGCCTCTTCTTTTCAAAAAGTACCTTTAATCTAATATCACTGGCATGCATATTTTAATTTATTGATTATGACTATAAATTTTTGTTCTTTTTTTTGTTCTTTATAATAAAATCTGTTGCGTTTGCACTACTCAGCTCTGTACACTTAATGACTCATTGACACAAATTTCATAATCGGAAGCCCTCCTCCCTATTAAATGTAAATGTCTTTTGCGGAAGGAAACTTACTAGGAAATGCCAAAGAATTATGGCACTCAAGGTCTCTCCGGGAAAGCTGATCTTGAGACAGCAGATTGATTTACAGATAGCGCTGACCTGTCTGACCTCCCCACATCCCTCTTTTTTAAGATGCATGTGTGGGTATGTGTGTATCAAACAAACTTTCCTTTCATTCACTTTTTTTCTAGTGTAGGCGAAACCAGACAACCATTCATATACAAACACAGACACTTACGCACGCACAGACACACGCACACACACGTGAGACTCTTTTCTCGAGAAAAGGGTCTCAGGAAATGTGTGCCAGTGTGGAAATTCTCTTAGCATTTAATTCAAGTAGGGTAAGCTGAATTCAGAAATCTCTGAGGTGTGTTTTCTATGACTTTCCCCTTGATCTTGTCCCTTTCTTTTTAACACTGTTCAGTATCTGTCCTGAGCCTGTTAACTCTTTTCTTTTTTTCCCTAGGATAACTGAGTAATGCTTAACACACATGGATAGACTTGATTAAAGGACCTTGCTTAATTGTTGTGAAATTTGCACAGCCTTTCTGAATTACAGATGGTTTTTTTTTGTTTTTTTATCAGCTTCCTGTGTCCATATGTGTTAATACAGCCACTCTTTAATCAGAGCAGGCTTGTGATTTGCACAGGCCTTGTGTTAGGGTTTGCAGTGCAGCTGTGAGCTCAGCAGTGATTGCTGCCATGTTTACATCAGCAGCTGCACATTGATACACATACAAAAACACACAAAGAGCCAAATAATATTGTGGGTTTTGCTTAGATATTTAGGTGACGAGCCTGTGTATTTTTTCTCTACATACATTATTACCACCTGTGTGAGCTGCTTTGCCTGTGATCTACAAGCAGGCCTGTAGATCACAGGCTATTTACTCGACACAACTACTTATTAACACTAATTAAAATTCACATATTCCACCTGAAAGGCCTTTTAAGTGTAAACATCTTTGTTTTTACACAAACGTTACGAAACATGTCCTTAAGAAAAGAGTTGATGTGTGTGTTTTCCTGGTGTCTCCAAGTGCATGAATAAAATGCATTACTAAAAATGAGCTGTTTGAATTATTTAATTAAATTAATTATTTGATTGATGAGTTTTTGTCTAAGTTCACTGATAATATTAAACGAGTTTCCTCAAATACCCACATGTTCAAATCCAAATCCATAAGATAAGATGCTTCCAAATGACTAATTAAGAGATGCACCAATTACATTGTTTTTTTTTCTTTTTAGGTTGTTTTCCAATTTTCTTTTCTCCTTTGATCTGCCAATACCAATATCAGATTAAGTTTTTAATTGTAGCCTTCCTGCCTACACAACTGGTGATTATTATTATTATTCACACAAGGGATGATCACAAAACTTGTTTGAAGGGGCAGTTGCTGTGAAAATGTATAAAAGCAAGTCAGCGTACTATTACTTTAAATAGTCTGCATTTCTGTTCCATAGAGAATATACATACTTAACTTTGAGATTTCCAAAATGATTATGATGTCAATATTTCCAAACCCATAATTTTGTGACAATGAAAGCTTAAAAAAGATTAGAAATAGCGACTTAGACCTTCCTGCTGTCTGATTTAAGTCTCTGTCTCACTTTCTCACTGTCTTTCATTGGCATATCATATCAACATGGAAAATGTTTACATCATTGCAAGCCAGCCAAAGCGATGGATCATTGTGTACATCTCCAGACTAATTTTCTCCCTCTGTGTAAGACAGATGAACAGAATAAGGATTGTTTAACATTATGAAGATTACAGAACTAAGCACCACCTGTGTGTTTACATGGTATCTGTATTCGATTACAGGTGACAGATCTGTAGCTAGTACACATAACCTTACTCCACCCAGTCACACCTGCTAATGGCAGCACCTTAGATCATAATGATCTGGACACCTGAACCTTATATTTAACGGCTCTAACCACTGGTCTGATGTTTGTCTGAAACCCTCTTCCGACCGTCCCTAACTTGTTTCTCTTCACCTCCCACAGCCTTGACAGTGTTCTCACCTCATCCAAGAGGCTCTTCTCAAGTTTAAACTAATTGCAAGCATCTTAAAGACCAGTCAAATCCTCTCCTGTGATCCTGACTGGCTTGTTTCCTCAGTCATTACGCTCCAGCCCCTTATCACAGCTCTGTTATCCCTAGGGTGCTAACTACTGTAACTCCATCTCACCTGACTCAGCTTCACAGCTGACTCAGGCTATTTGCCTGTTTCTTCCAATGCCTGACTCCAATTAAGCTTGGGAAAGCCGCATGAGTTTGGCCGCAAAAAGTGCACGCCTTTTCTTGGAGTCATCTACATCTTATACACAATCTCACCACTGACTCCACAATCATGTCTGCCCTGAAGGAGACGATACAGTCACTGAGAATGTCAGTATATATGCACCTAACCTTTTCAATCAGCCCACACTGTTATCTTACTCTAGCATCATGTCTTCTTTCTCAATAAATATAATAGACATAGAGTCGCCATTTAGAAGCATTTGATGCACATTTAGAGGTAATTTTAATCAGTGACATGCAAAAATAAGGTTGCTTCGGTGTGGCCCTGGGCTACACACAGCAACAACTGTACTTGTAGGGTTTTATCTCATTTAATTTAAAACATAATTTGAAATATGTATGACAGACTTATGATAGTTCCATTAGGCGCTCCAACTTGCACAATTTACAACCTGTCAAACGTTGTTAGCGGCTCAGTTTTTATCATCTTTGATGGCTTTCGACATACTTTCTCCTCCATGCAGAAATTCCTCAGCCTAATCATTCAAAGATTCAGGAGAAATTTTCATGGAACAAATAAGCAGCGTTCAGAAAATTAATGGCTTTGTGTGCGTGTCTTACAGTTGCATTTTGTTGCTCATTTCTTTTTTTTTTTTTCTTTTTTGCAGACCCAAAGCAGAATGAAGTTAATAGCAGACAATTATGAGGAAGACTACATCCACCCCCAACATCACCCTCATCATTTGCACCACATGCATACAACAAATTTGCATCACCGGAGTCTGCCAAGAGGGGACCCACATGCCAACCACCGACCTCCTATGGATCAGGTCAGAACAGATACTACAACACACGCACACACACACGCACACACACACACCTTGAAGGAGCAGATGAACTCTAGGCTTGTTTACACAAGTTTACAATTTCTGAGCCTTCATCTTCATGCCTTTAAGGTTGATGCAATTTCATATTTATCAACTCCACCAACACTCAGTTGTGGTCTTCTTTGACAGCATAACATTTCTTGTCTCCCTTCTTTTTTTTTTTTTTTTTTTTTTTTTTTGTAACCCTCAAACCCCAATACTTCCTGCCAAGTTAGAATTATTCATATCAGCCAGATAAGAGGCCTGAAGGAATAAGCTGCCAAATGATTGTTTTTGATTGATGGGGTTTGTATGTGAGATTAGTTTATATATCATCCAACTCTTATACAAGCTCCCTCCTTTCTGTCTGCGTATATTACCCACATTGCCCCGAGGACACCCTTAATGTGTCTGCAGACAGCTGAAAAAGTACTGTTGTTTTAGGCACAAGCAAGTGTTGTGTGTTGATAAAGGTGCACACTGGCATTGATGTGGATGCACATGGGATGCATACTTGAGTGTTTATTTGTTCTGTGTACCCTGATGAAACTGCCTGTAGGTGAAAGCAATCTTTACAAAAGACAGAGTCTTCCCATTAACTCATAAAAGTTTTTTTTATGAATATTTGAATTGAATTCAAACTCATCACAGCTCTATTGTTGTGCATGGGGGGATTCCAAACTGTGAAATTGTGCATGTGTCTGTCTCACTGAGTATGTGGCTTTAAGATGAATAGTTGGGAATTTCCACCTGGGTCTATATTCCTACATTTGTTCTGTTTGAAATGAACTGTTACGTGCCTGTACTCTTTATAAATAATTCTGAATGTGCTGTCTAAGTAAGAGTCAAACATGAACTGGAGATCCCCTGTGTTTAATAGTGGTAAGATGCATTCACATGCTTAAAATATTTCAGCAATAAGTTAACTGGTTGAATAATTTCTCCTTTTCATACCTCTGGAAGAGCACGTCTTAATTCCTTAAAGAATGCAGGAGTCTGTGATTGATTGACGTTCATTTCATTTCTTTTTATTATTAACTTTCAAACTCAGAAGTATGTGAACATCTGCGTTCTTTTCACTCACAAGATGAAACAATATCTTACTTCGACTGATGCATCAGGTGATTGAAGGCGTAATAAGACACCCGTTTTCTGGAAACCACCTTTTCAACCACAAAGATTTATAATTTAGATTTCTGCAGGTCTTATTAAATAACTAAAATTGTCAACGGAAACACTTTAATGCATGTGATTTATCTGAAAACTTTAGTGATTTAATATTACATATTGCAGATTAATCAAGCTATGGATTTTCACTTAAAAGCATCTCGCGCATAGAGGTTTACCTCAGAGCAGCCTGTTATGGGCTCGACACAAGGGGAGCGACAAATGTCAGAGTTGGGTTTATCCATTGGGTGAACACATTTCTATTAGCATTTACTTTTCATATCCACTTGATGGGTAGCAAAGGTGTGTATTGTGTGTAAGCAATTCGACTGACAGGAGACAGCAGCCATTGATTTGACCGTGATTTATGTCACTGAAAATTCCAAAGATGAAAATATCTGGGTTAGTTGAGTCCATCAAAACCACAACCTAAACATTGCTTAGGTTCACTGCAAACGTCGTTGGAGAGTTGGACACAGTTCCTGCACACTCATGACTCGCCCACGTTCCTACTAATATTCACATCCACAGTAGTGAGGAACAGACGTATTGGAGATGCTGCGAATTGGAGTAGAACCAGAGCAAACATTAACCAGTCAGAGTGAGACCTGGCATTAGAGGAGCAGCTTTAGTCTCTTGCAGTCTGGGGGCTTGGTTTGTGGTTCGGAATGATCTTCAGGCTCTTCTAAAAAAAACACTCTTGTTGCTTTGCTGCAGCTGATTCTCTGCCTTCTTTTTGTAGATGATTTTTCCATTTCTAGTTTTCTTATTTGCTCTTCTTCATTTGAACACCCAGAGTACATGAACGCTGCCCATGTTTATCTATGAGTCTGGAAATTGTGTGATTGGCCACATCTCGGTCAGCAAGATGAGGTTAGGTTTCCAGTAGCTCCTTTGATGGCATGTAGAGCCGCCAGCTTACCCACTTTGTTGGAAAGAGACATCACAGTTCCTATGATGATGGACAAATTGATGGATCTGCGCAATCCAGTCCAGTTGCTGCTCTTGATTCCTGTCATCTTCCTTCCCACCTCGTATTGGACAACAGGATGTTCTGCCAGAGGCTGCACAGTTGAGCAAGGAATAACAGAAGGGGGATCACTCATACTGTCTCCGAACATAATATTAATAAAAGAATTAAAATAAAAAGTTCACAGAAAAGTTTGCCCCTTTGTTTGTATAAAAAAGTAGGAGGATACAGAAACACACAGCACATCCAAAATAAACTATTAAAACAAGAAGACTCAGAGTTAGTGAGGAGCTGCTAAAACAGACTGCTTGCTCTCCTGGCACCAGAAGATGTAGATGAGGGTATGTTTCTGTTTTCCAAGCTTGTCAAAGCTACTGCAAAACCAATGTTACAACTGTAGCTTAGCTGCTTCATTGTAGCCCATTAAGTTTACCGAGCTTGTCAGAACCATTCAGTTCACCACCGTATAAACTGCAGCCAATGCTCGGCTTGTTTTTAGTTCCGGTGTCATATTAGCAGAGACTTTGCTTTAGCTAGACATACTTTAGCTTTTTGCATGTAAGGACTTGACTGTGGAGAGCTTCCAGTTCATGCTAATCATTATAATGTTACCAAGTGAATTTGCCTTCTTGTTAGCAGAGTTCTTGTCTGAACAGTTCCAGCACAAGGAAACCTCCAACATGTCATTGGTTTTTAACAACTGCGCCAAGAAAAAAATGCTGTGATATCATAACATCTTTGAAAGAGAGCATGACCATTATTATTATAATTAAAGATCACATGAGTTCAAGAGAACTGAAAGATAAAACTGTAAGTTTCAGCTTGTGAATACACAATCACCAAGTTTAACTTCTATTATAAACAGAAAACAAGTTTGTTGACACACAGTATTATTAAACATGATTATAGTCATATGTAAGAACAATTACATGCCATAATTAATACATCACAAATTATGTTTTCTTTATTTTCTCACAGGATGACGAAGAGGGTATATGGGCTTGATGAGTACTATCCATAAGAACCTGCATCTCTTTGGTGTCTGTAAGTTTGTGACAGATCTTTTATCAATTGTAAATGTAGGTTTTATTTCTGGACATTGAAGCTGAAAAATGTAACTTTTATAAAAAATATATTTTTCTACATATTTGTTGAAACTGTCATTATGTTCTGACAGTTTGGTATGCAACATATAATCTGTGGAAAAACTGAGCTCCTCCTCTGTCTTCTCCCACTGCTAACTAGAAACAACCAATCAGCCAGGAGATGGGTTTTAATGCTGTCAATCACAATCTTATCCTTTGGTCTGGAAATGTCGCTCAGGGAGGAGGAGATCAAACTTTGACAGATTATCTGAAAAATGTCACAGCATGGTGACCATTATAACAAATGTGTAAAAAACATTTTCCTTATAAAAGTTGCATACTCAAGATTTAAGGTAAATATTTTAAGCTTGATATCCTGCACCTCACTGTGTTTGAGAATCTTTTTCTATTTTGAAGTGAGAAAAAAGGTAGCTTTGAATTCTCCTGATATGTTGACAGAGTGGACTAAAGTAAATAAGATTAGCTGTAAAACTGGCCGACGATGCACAGTATGATAAAATCTGTATCAGGATTGGTCAAATGTGGATTAAAATAATTTTATAGTGTTTACTGATTATCTAAAATAGAATTGATGAAAACTTTACAGTATTCCAGAAAAAAAAAGGGGAACTCAGTTTTCCCTAACATAATCCTATCCTGTGCTATTTTGTTCTTATGAACTCAAAAATATTATGTCATCTCATACTGGCTGCTGAATGTACTGTTCGACCTTTAATGCTTTGCACAACATATTCAAGGGGCTTGAGTTACCATTAGCAGGAAACACTGATGGAACCACCCTATCCGCTGCATCACCCTAGACGGACAGAGGAAAGTGTAACAGAACCCAACTCCGTTTCCACTGCTTGTGAATTTCGGTTGACTTAAAAGAATTGGTTTATTTCGAGGTTTATGGGTCCTTTTTGTAAAGTACTCAAATGCTGGTTGTGCAGCCATGTGGTACATGCACTCTGTGGCCATATAGGTAACTGCGTGGTTAGACCTATACGCACCCCTGCCGCCTAAAGCGAACACACCAAAGCCCATAGGTGATAAAAATGACACAATGAGAAAAACCAGAGATGGTCCAGTCTGTCTTTTTGCACTCAGCTTTTTCAGTCATAGTAAAATTTTACCACACTACCCCACCCCTTTGTGTGCCGGTGTGTGGGGTAGTTAATTGCAGTACAACACAGAAAAGTTATGAGGATTTTTTTCTTTTTAAGACTGCAAGCTAAAAATGCATAAAGTCAAGAATGCTGAGTCATAAATTATAATTCCGGTTTTGGGGGTTTATATCGAAGCCCCCCATTGGCTCAGGATGCCTTTAAATGAGGGCATGCAACAAAAAAAAGAGCATGGGGGACAGGGCTTCTTTTGAGCTAATGTATATATGTATATATGTTTAAGTTAATGAGACATAAAGACACTACTTAAAGACATTCCAATATGGCTATATAAATGCATATGTGTGGGCAAGAGCGAGGGAAGATTGAAAGGGTCTGAAAATTGGAAGGGTTCTTGTTGGAAACTGGACAAAAATCAAGCATCATGATACACTCATAGTTTCCAGCTCATCTTTTTCGTCTCCCCCAGTAATCCACAGGTGGACCATCACAAGCCGAGGGTGTCTCTAACCTCAACGTTGCACTTGTCTCGAACATTTCACTTTTAGGATTAAGTTTTATAAGGTGTGCAAGCAAATGGTTCATCTTCCTCTATTACGGTTTTGTACTTATCTATGATGTTTGTCCATATGTTTGTAAGGCAACCTGTGTTTAAGAAGTGTTGGTGAGCTATACTGGTTTGGAGCAGTCTACATAATCTAGTCCATGTGTGTTGAGAATGCAGCAGTGTCAAGATTCACTGTAATGAAACAGACCACACTGCCCCCTCTCTCCCTCAGTTTCCATCTCTTCACATTTTTCCATCACTCCTCTCCTTTCCACCTTTCTTAGACTTTCTCAGTGCTAACTCATATCCCTGCAGGTAAGCCTGGACCTCTGGTTAGCGTACGGGTTCAGTAACCTTGATCAGATATCAACTGGGGATATGCATTCAGTCAGTTCTGTATGTGTGTTTATATTAGAATCTTTTATCCCTTTCTAATAGAATAAGCCTGGCACATTAGCCCTTTAGTGGAGAGTGGTATTGTGGCTAGCAATATCAGTGCTGCTCATCTATCCGATTCTGTTATTCTGGCAGCACGCAGCACGAGTGCTGCTAGAGTGTAGAGCTATCCTTTATAGCAGAACAGATGGGAGCCATTCAGAGGTATGTAGCTACAGCACATAAGGCTGTACCTAATCCCCATATCCTGTCCCTGAGTGAGCCCTCCCTAATATGAGCAAACAGAGATGACAGCACAGATAGACAAATAGCTAAGAATCAATGTGCCTGATAGATTTGACTTCTGTTTCTTAATGGCAACATTGACTTCCACTTCAACAACCTGATTTTCTTACTAACTTTTAAAGTGTGAGTTGCAGATTGTGTATTCATGCCTCTCTTTTTATAGATCCTCAACTCTTATTGGCTCATTTAGGTTGTGTATGTTCTGTTTTTGATTACAGAGGTTTTGTTTACCTTCTAGCCTACTGGACTCCCTCACTAATGAAATAAGAATGTCCTTTTAGAGACGCAGCACAGAAGAAGGGGGGATGGAGGTAAATATGAATGAGAGGATGGGGCCAAAGGAGTAAAGTCAACGGAATAGCATTTGTGGAAACATTGCGCTTTTAGTCCGCCATAAAAGAATCTGGGACAGAAATATTTTAAAGAAAATAAGAGTATGCAGATGAGCAGGCATTCCACATGAGATGAATGTTACTCAGCTTAAAACAAGCTTTTTTTTTTTTTTCAAAGTCTTAGTTTGGCCACGCAGTGTTTTCCAAAACATTTTTAGGGCTCTTTTTTGGGGTTTGAACAAGTAACATGGTCTCGTTGAAATCAGTTAATCATAAAATGGCCAATAGAAGTTCTATCTCATTTATAATTTCAGATGTAGTTTTTCCACTAATAAATACCAATAGTTCAAAATGTTGAGGTTAGCATCCCTGTTTGGGTCACCCATCAACAAGTGTGGGATCTTGAGTTCATTCTCAGACATTTAGCTAAATTTAAAACTGTAAAAGTAATAGCCATGTCATGTATTAAAATTTTAATTCAGTTGATTTATATAGCCTCAGTACATAACATAAGTCTCCTGAATCCACTTCACAAGGCAAACATTTTGCTTATTCAGTCCATTACCTCAGTCGAACCCCAAAATATGTGCAGTTTCTTTGTAATTTTCTATTGTATGTCTGGTCTTGCGTAAAGCTGTCCCGTGCCATGTGTCTTTGGTAATCGGTGAACCGTGACTTGAAGGTCAGAAGAGGCGTCTGATCCGGGCTGTTCTTCAGCCGGCTGTCAGCGTCATGAGTCCATGAAGTCAAAGGTTGTTCCACCAGTTGAACATGAGTGAAGAAAAGTCATTAACTCCGCAACACCCGAGTAGTGACCCTTGAGCGTACTGTGTCAGATCTATCTCAGTGAATACTGACAAATGTCTTTATCAGATTTACAAACTGACAGCCAAAATAAATCATCAATGGTAAAATGCTGAGGACACCAGAGGCAACACAAAGTCAAGTTTGCTCTGGTGCAGGAAATTTGGTGCTCCACATAGCAAAAATTGTTAAAAAGTCATGGCCTCTGTTGCTAACTAAAGTGTCATCTTGATTAAGTTGGCAAGAACATATTGCTTTCAAAAGAGAATTCACAATGTTTTTTAAGAGGTATTCACATTGCCATTGTGAGCATGGAAAGCTGTAGTTAAAGGATCTAAAGATGCATCAAGGCAGAAAAGCATAGAAGTCGACAAATGCAAGGTTCAACTGACACCTTTTATGAGCCATTCATGTTTATTCATGTTTCCTCTTTTTGGTGGTTTTCTTGAAGTTGTGACAGGGAAAGCAAAGTGAAACACCTCAAGTGTGGACCAGAAGGCACTTTGTCTGAGTAAGCATCATTTTCCCCTCCCACAACACCCTCATTACACACGCAACAATGTGGCCACACATGCTGGGCAAACGAACAAAGATGTATCAGAACTTTATTGCCTTTTATGTTTCTGTGATGGCAAGTAAATCCATGCTCATCAGTTCCCTATCCATGCATTGAGAATTTGCATGTGCGTGCTGCTTAACTAATCAAAAGGAATCCTCAAATTTCTGTGTGGGCGACCCAAGTATCACAACGCAAATAAGGGGAGATCAGAAGAGCTTAGCAACATATTGTGCGTCTCCCACCTCTTCCGTTGGCAAGATATGGCACTGCTTAACTGATGCGTTACATTGGTAGACATTGAGAGGACATTGGACGCGTGTCCAAATAATTTATTTTACTGGAAAATATTGTTTATTAATCAAATAGCAATAAAACATTTACTCAACTAATCACTCCTTCCAGTATATATGCTCTGTCTCTCATTTACATCTAATACTCTAAAAATCAAGTACGACAAATCTTGATTTTATTTACATGCGTCAGATAGCCTAAAACGCACTCAGAAAAATGTAAGACAATGTCTGTTCTGTTATTACGGCAGTACCTTTGTAAACAGAGACAAACTGTTAAAAGTGACAGAGAAGACAACAATACAGAGAAGCATGTAGCTATTGGACTGTGCACATACAGTTATGTTGAATACATTAAAAGTTTAATTATTTCAATATCTCAGTTCTCTAAATTTAACACTGATATATGGAAATCATTTTAATTATTTTGTCTGTTAATTATGTCAATATTTTTCTCTTACATTTGAGGAAAACACAAATAAAAAAAGCATTTTTAGTACAAAAATATGCTATTAATAAAAAGTATTAATACCTTCTTAAATGTTATTTTCAAAAGATTATTTTAATATTACAACTTTCTCTGAAATGGCAATTCAAATTAATTAAATACGACCTTTAC